TTTTTTTTTTTTTAAACTTGTACAAAATTTTGTTTTAATTTATTATTTTGCGTAACTTTGTTTTAATTTATTGTTTTTAAAAAATAATTCAGAAATTCGTTTTCCGTTTTTCACTACAATAACAACAAAATATCATATCTATGGAATAAGCTGAAATCATAATACGTGGTCACGTTTTCAGATATCTATGAACGTAAATGTAGCGTCCGTTGGTATGTTCCTCGGTAATGCAATGGGTCCTTATCTGTCCATGGAGATGTTCGCCTACGTGAGCCTCGTGCCGAACATCCTCTTCGTAGTCCTCTTCAGTCTGATACCGGAGTCGCCCTATCATTATGTCCTTCACGGCAACATCAACGAGGCCGAGGCATCTCTCAAGTGGTTTCGACGAGAGGCTGACGTCAAGGCCGAGATGCAGGAGCTACAGGACTTCGTTCACGGCGCCAATACCAATATTCTAACAAAGCTCAAAAATTTGCTGGTGCCAGGTATATATATATATATATATTCCGAAAATAATATTATACTTGCGTTTTCTTCTTTTGTCAAAAAAATATTTTTTACGAGTCTCTAAGTCTAAATGGGATTTAAATTTAAGCAGAAAAGAAATTAATTTTTGAAGTTCAATCTTCTTTGTTCCAGTAAATCTGAAAAAAGTGCTGACGATACTTGGTTTGAACGTTTTCGTCCATGGAAGCGCGTACGCCACGATGAACTCGTACGCGGAAATTATTGTAATCAATTCCGGAGTGAACATCACTCCGTCGATTGTGGTGATGGCACTGGGTTTCTCCACGATTGTCGCTGGTTTCACCACCGTCTTGGTGGTAGACAGATTCGGGCGGAAGAATCTGCTGATCGTTTCCATCGTCGGCGTCGTCATTTCGCTCTTCGCTCTTGGTCTACACTTCTATCTTCTTTCACTAAACTTCGTTCCCGACAAATTGACGTGGCTACCGATAACATCGTTATTGGCTTTTAGTATCTTTGTATCGTACGGTCTGATACCGGTGCCCGGTGTACTTTTAAGCGAGATGTTTCCAGCAAATCTAAAAAATTTGGTGTCTCTTTTCGTTTCTATAACCAACTCCACGTTGGCCTTCATGTTCACCAAAACTTATCAGCCTTTCGTCAACGTGGCGGGAGAAACAATCGTCTTCTGCAGCTATGGACTTTTCGTGATCATGGCCGTGCCTTATGTGTGGTACTTGATCCCCGAGACAAAGGGCAAGAGCTTGCTGGAGATTCAGCGATCCGTTAAACATTAAATTATTAGTCGGATTATCAAAAGTGATTTTGATACACAAAGTTTATAGATGCAATTTTTTCTCTCTAAATAAAGTGAAAATTTGTTTGTGAGATTGAACCCAAATGCAAAACAAAGTATATGTATAATATTCTTGGATACATTTATACACGAAAACTGTGTGTGTGTGAAAGTTTCAAAGTAGATTATGAATTTGTGTGTGTTTAAGAATTAAAACCAAGCTTACTCTTTATATATACATATATATTTATATATATACATGTATACACACATATATTATATATACACATATATTATATATACATATATATATATTTACATATATTTATATTATATACACATATAATTCTTAAGCTGCGTATTTTGCCTGTGATTTTACAAAATAAACTAAGTGTAATTATGCATGTACACAAAAAATTTATTCTTGTAAAGAAACGTTTTATACGATATGAAAAATGTTACGAAACTCTTGAATATTTTGAAAACAAAGCATTAAAAAAAAAAAAAAAACATGTTTATAATAAAAGCAATTTGATACTGGCTGCGTTCGGGGAGCACGCTATCAGCGCTATTGCGTCATTCCATCCTTGTTTTACATCTAATGAGCAATAAAGACAGAATGATGCAACAACGCTGATAGCGCGCACCCCGAACGCAGTTACTACAAGAAGTGTATTTGACTTTGATTGGTTCACGCGTTGTTTCTGACGGCTCAGTGAATATATAAATTATTTCTCTATGTAAACATTATATCGCGTCTTGTGCGCACCAGTTACATATGAGAGTAGCCACGGTTACACGTTTTGTACCGACTGAAAAAGTACAAACTATTTGCGTCCAGACAGCAAGAAAGAAAGATCAAAAGACGACTTAAAAACGTCTTTTAGTCATCTTTTAGAGACGTGTACTGAGCTGTATTCTCGGTGTCTCGCTTTTCTGTCACTTAGGCGACGAAGGTGCTGTTAATCTTCATTGCAGCGTGAAACAGAGAGGAGCCTGAGGAGCGGCCACGGCCATAAAGCCTGTTCCACATTGATCGCGAGCGCAAACGCAAGAAACAGGTCTGGTGGAACTGACTAATCGTATTGATCAAATCAGCCAACTGACCAGCGTGAATGGTCAATTCCGCGAGATCAGCGACCTGCGTCTTATGTAGATAGACCTTTATACTCTAATACTACCTACTCCTATTGTAAACGGCCCTTAAGATTTGGTGATCACGCACTACTATGCTTCCGGTTTTCCACACACTGCTGACTCAGGTTGCGTTCGTAGAGCGCGCTATCATCGCCAACGCGTTATTCTATCTTTGTTTTTCATCTAACGAGCGATAAGGATAGAATGATGCTGTTAACGCGAAAACGTGCGTTCCCCTCAGTTCTAAAGTGACAAAGTCGAAACGTTAAAAGTGTGCATGGGAGGAACAAAATTAGATGCTTCGAAATCAGTTGCTTTTTAAAATTTAATATATGACTTGTACGATTAAATAAATTGACATATTTAGGCACAAAGCTGTAGGATCATCACAACGCTATTTTTTTTCGTTAATTTGCGTATTGTGTTCGGGGACGCGATCACAACACGCTGCTCGCACGCACTCCTGGCCATTTTCTGCTGGTAGTATCGTATTTCTTAATTTTTATTTGCCAATCGTCGGACGATTATAGACAAAAGCGTAAAAATGAGTGACGATGACCGTGAAATCGATATCGAAAGTGACGTAAGTAACACGTGCAATGATCTGCTCTTATTGTCACATGTAAATATCTGTACCGCGTTTGCTGTACTTTTGTACATATAAATTTCCTTGTTTTAAGGATGGCGACGACTTAGACCCTAAACTGAAACACTCGGGTAACTCACCGTATTATTCTCAGGTGAGAATACCTGAGGTAAGGATCTTTATTCGAAGTAACAGTGTTTTCTGGAGTAAATCTCAGTAGTTCACGCACGGCAATAAATTTGGTTCCGTGACGAGAGAGAAGGCTTTTCTGTACGTGCGTCATTCTTCTTAGGTCGTTCAACTGTCGACAACTGAAGAACAAATAACGTTAGAGGGAGAAATTTGTTTTCCTTTCGCACAGAGCCGATTTATTGCCGAGTAATATATATGTATTTCACATATATATGTTATATTGCCAATATTTCGTGACGATTCAACTCATCTGAATCTTCTTCAGCTACGGTCTTTGCAAAACATCACGATAATCAATATTAATTGATATCGATATAAAAATCGTTATAACTGTTGCCAACAGAAAATCAAACAAATCAGAAACAATATAAATCTTGTACGATCACTAATATTGTCAATATCAACAAATATATTTGATAATATTAACAGTATTATTAACTAAGATTGGTATGATAAGAATCCAATAGATTGATAAGAGAAATTTAGTTAAGGTATTATTTATAATTTCAAGTTTTATTTAAATTAGAATAGTCTATTGTTTATAGTGAAACACATATTCTATGTAATATTAGGCAGAAAAACGTGCTCATCATAATGCGTTAGAAAGAAAACGCAGAGACCATATCAAAGACAGTTTCTCAAGTCTCAGAGATGTTGTACCAGCTTTACAAGGAGAAAAAGTTGCAAGCAGGGCACAAATTCTGAAGAAAGCAGCTGAATATATTCAATATTTGAAACGAACAAATCTTTCTATTCAGCAAGATATTGAAGACCTTGAAAGACAGAATTCATTTTGTGAGGAAAAAAGTGAGTATCTTTTTTCCATAAAATAAACTATGAAAATGAATCTTGTGCATAGTTTTCTGGTTGTAGCAGCATTGTGTCATTTTCGTATCAACACACATTTCAGTTCTGTCATTATTAAATTAATCTTAATTGTGATGAAATGAACAAATGTTCCTAACCCAAAAAAACATGCACAAGAATTGTTGCAATACTGTATGACAAACATAAAAATATATTTTCTCAACTTTCAGTAAATTTCATTAAACTAACTTTATATTGTTTTGTACAATGTCATGTCTTACAATTTTCAAGTAGTTTTAATCTTAGCTGTCATAATAATCAAGATCATAGTTTCAATACTTTAACTTATTTAGTTTCAATATTTTCAATATTTTAGTGAATTTTTCAACTTGTAAATTCAATATTTAAATGAATTTTTTCAACTTATAAAGATATGATATAATACTAAAGATGATCTAACGTTCGCTTATTCTACTTGTTTTAGCTTCAAAAATTTTGCAACAAAAGTTAAAAAATTGTTCTAATAAAAAACAATTTAAAATACGATACAGAAATATTAGGTATGATTTCCAAACAGATGGAGCTTCAAAAAGACTATTTACTTTATTACAAAGAGAATATAATTCCACTAGAGAGGAACTGTTTCCTATGGATTAATGTAGAAGAATTTAATAAAAAAATTTCATTTTAGCATTTATAATGTGGTTATAATGATTTTAATAGTTATAATGGTAAAATAAGTGAACGTGGTGGTTGCTCGGCAGATTTCTAATTAGCTGTATAAAGTTCGTATGTTAGAAAAGACCAAGGCATCTATGACATCCGGGGAGACGCGCGAAGTTGTGAAATCTGAAGTAAGTATACATGTCTACGACACTGAATCAGAGTCCTCCGAGTCTTACAGCGAAGTAAGACAGAAAAATCGCAAATCGAAGAAGCTGAAAGTTACTGGAGAATAGTGACAACACGTTTGTGTTGTCTACTTTTTCCTTTATTTGTTTAGTATATAAATGTTCTATCATACATTGTTGTAAGTTATAAATTGTGTGTACAAGATGTGTATAGATATATATATGTATAAATATATGTATACACTTATATACATATATATATATGTATATTATATATCTATATTATATAGATATTTATTTAAGCGATTAGACTTCGTCCTATAATATACATTTAACATAGTAAAATTCCGCAAATGGAAGATGTTAACGTGACTGGCAGAAAGCGAGCGAATTGTGTAAGAGATTTGTATTTGCAGTTGTCTGTAAAATGAATGTGTGTAGGTTTTATTTGGATTTTTTACGACGTAAAGTCTACTATATTCTATGTGTTGTTATTAATTCTATATTCTATATTGTTAATTTTATTATCATTAAGAACGCCCTTGCATCTGCACACAATTTAGAAAATACTTTGCATTACGTGGTGCACAGTTAATGTATATAAATATTAATGTATATGATTATTAAACAACAATAACGTTACATCAATATGCAGTGTCTTTTTAAGTGTGATTATATTTCGAACTATATATTTGTCACGCTAACAAAACTCGAAATATCTCAATTTAAACAGTTTTGAAGGAAACACTTCTAAACTTTATTTAAAAAAAAAAAAAAAACTTACTGTATAAGAATTTAATAATAATAAAAATAAAAATTATATCAGACTGTAGATTATACTAATACAATATATGTATATATACTGATTATATTCGAAATATATTTATATACACGCATTAGTCGCTATCACAAAGAGGTAAACATAAGTGAATAAATATTATATGTGCAATCGCGTCTCCTTCTGCCGAGATGTCGCGGAAAGTCTAGATAAAATGAGAGGGAAAGATAAAGAATTGTAGTGTCATTAAATTTATTTAAGTATACGAGTTATTTTACAAATTTCAAATGATACGACCCTACAATCCTGTTCGGCGCTTACAGAATTCACTAGGATGAAAAGCAGATGCGATATATCAACCGCAGAAGAAATCCTAGACACGACCGGCGAATGTTCCTGCCTCAATCTGTCCATCCCACTTCTCTACCCAGGCGTGTGGGCACATCGAATTATACACTTTCTTAAAATATTTGCAAGCTTCATAATTCTCGTCGTGCTTCTTCTTGCATCGATGAAAGTCTACGTAGCTCTGGTAACAATATCTAGCAAGAAATGCAATTAATCAAGATTCATCAGGACAGTTTCTTGTTTATATGCATATGTTTCTATTATATTTTACAACTAAAACCTGCTTAAAACTGGCTGTATCTTTTAATTTTATATTATTTTGATACGTATAAGAGACTATTACAAACTTTCTCGATTAGAAAAAATACAAATATAACGATTGATAATTCCAATAATTCATAATCTTATCATTCTTCCTAAGAATCAGATGGCACTCATTCCCTCTCTCGCAGAGATAAAACTCGCAATCCGAATTACACACACAATACACACATAGCATTTATTTCATAAAATCAATATATCAAAAATAATGAATTATTAATATCAGATAACTAAATTCAAACTGTGTTTGTTATGCAAGATTTTAACTTCTCTATATATTTGAAACTTTAATACACAAATCTTGACAAACTGATACATTGATATAAAAAAAAATACAAAATGATACGATAAAGAATTTCACGACTTAATATAATATTACGTTTTTAAGGATTAAAAGAGTTTTTTTTTAAACAAAATATGTAAACGGATTTTTTTCTGATTGTGTTGTCAGTAATATGTTATTGCAATGAGACTGAATAAAGATCGATTTTGATTCTTACCTTGTTTGATTCTGATTAGGGAATCTAGGGTCAAACGGTGCGCCCTGCAATTCTGGAGGAATAAGCGACTCCTGCGTCATACTTGCGGCGATATAGGACACTGCTTAACAAGTTAAATTATTTAATCCCTAAATCTCTCTTAGCACGTATAAGTCGTTTCACCTCCTCTCCCCCTTCTATCTCCTTTTTTCGCAAAGATAAATTTTTTTTACATTGCTCTCTCGCTCTTGTCCATTTCTGTCTCTCAAAGCACACGCGACACTATCACAAATGAGCTTCTCTCGGAACTTTTTTATTCCCTTCTTTGTCTTTCGTTTATAATTAGTGCAAAATAACATTATATATAGTGAATTTAGATAAAACAGAATGCTCACAGTGAAACAAAACGAGAATAAAAGATTTTTTTCCCGGAGCAATATCTGTTAATATCTTATACATAAAGTTTCTTATAGACGAAGTTAGCCTGATTATAGATGTCTCAGAAGAAAGTAATGAGCCAAAGTACATAAAGAAGGGATAATTTGAAAAAGCTATTTAACCAACGGTCGCGTGTTGTCCTCCTCCTGACAGCAGACTTCTCGATACTTTTTCACTTCTGCCATGTACAATGACCAAGCATCTTTTGGTTGCTCCACAGTTTGTTCTGTCTTTGGCTTTGCCACCATGCCGGTTTTTAAGATTCTGCCACCTCTTCTCTTGCCTACCATCAATGGCGGCGGCACCACAGGTTTTTCCTCTAATACAGAAGTTGTAGGTTTCTGTACGGTAGGCTGCATTTGCTCTTGCATTTTCTTAAACATCTCCATGAAACTTCCGTCATTCTTGAAAGCATTTGGTTGGGGAGCGACAGTCACCACCGGATGCGCCACCGACGTCGTTCCTTCTCCGTGATCTTCAAGAGCGTCCGATTCGTACGAAGGTGCTCTAGTGTGATGCCTTCGACTCTCCCTGTATCTATGCCTGTCTCTGCTGCGATTGTGACTGCGACTTCGTCTTTTGTCTCTCGAGCGGGATCTGTTCCTGGAGCGCGATCTGCCGCGTGATCTCGACCGCGATCTGTCTCTTCTCGAATATTTTCGTGATCGTTCTCTGTCACGATCGCGCTCCCTGTCCTTGTCGTTGGATCTTGACCGTCTGTGAGAACGCACCGGGGACGATCGTGAGCCGCTTCGACGGCGCTTACGTCTGTCCTGGAGCGGCGAGTCGTTCCGCGAGGATCTGCTCCGATGGTACTCCGCGACAGGTAGGGGAGAGGGCGAGCGTCGCGAGCTGCCTCGGTTCCTGTGACCGTCGTGTGTCGCGGTGCTGTAACCTGTGCTATACATGGGAGACGAGGGCAGAGCAGGTGGCGATTCTGTATTCGACCTCGTGCTGCGATCGTACCGCTTTGAGTCCATCGCACTGCCAGGCCAAACTGAAGAACGGATGGACGTACACGGACACACCTATAAGGATAGAAACTTCCTTCCATGAGTACATGGCTCATTCCAAATTTCCACGCCTTTATCAGACTTTTCGGATTTTTTTTTTTTTTTTTTTTTTTTAATGTGCATTTGCGGGAGAGACAGGCGGACTTTAGAGCGAGAGAGTGTAACATAGCATAGCTCAAAATAGAAAATGACAAAAAGAATTAACAGATAGCAAGAAAGAGAGGATGTCTCTTAATATAAATCTATTATGCTCTTCTAATCATCAAGCTGTGAGATTTAAGAAATATTATATATTATATAAAGAATACGAAATCACACAGCATGATGATCACTTTTTTTGGCAGTCTCTCTCAAGAAGGGTACAAACATTATTCCCCCAGATGAGAGATACTAAACAATAAAAACGCGCAGCACTCTCTTTTCTGTATTACTTCACTATATCACAAGACGAATGAGAATGTAAAAAAAAAAATCGAAATTAAAAGGAAACAAATACAGAAGACCTTGAACTTTACAAAAGCTAATCAAATCCTATGTGTGTCGCCGATTGATTTCGGGAGAATTTTCACTCCCAGAAAAACTGACAAAGATAATGGAGAACGAAATGATGGATGTTCTCGCGTTTCGCTCGCGATACGCGATTGGAAAACGAAAATCGTGTTTTTTTTTGGAGGAATTTTCAGATTCGATAACGAGATAAAGACGACATAGAGAGAGAGAAAGAGAGGGGAGGAAATAGGAGGAAACAAGGGGAGAACGCGAACCGTTTCTCTTCGTTGATTATCCTCGAGATCTACTACTGAGATGGCGACTATCCTCCTACAGCTATCTGCTTCGCGCGAACGAATATGACCGTCTCGTCGAGCATCTCGCTGGACTGCCTAAAATAATGCTAATTACTTCTATGCGTAATACCTTAAATCGGACGTGCGGTCGGAAACAAAATGGCCACTAAGAAAAACTGCGCCAGACGACGATCTGTTACGTCATGCACTTCGCCGAGAAAAGCACACACTGCCAGCGATCGCCAACAGCGCCGACAGCGACGTTCGGCCGAAGTTGATCGCGAACTTAGCGACGTGCACTAGACCGGCCACTTCGTACGGCGACGGGTGATCGTAAATCAAAACCGGGATGATGCGGCGCAACAAATTGAGAATTATCATTTGCGACAGGACTGTTCCTCAAAACCTATCAGAGTTTCAAAAATATCCGATCACAAGTGATAATCGTTGTAAAACTGTTGTGTTTTCTGAAGACAATCAATAGAAAACCAGAGATGCGTTTCGTTATTCACTTTCGATATTAAAAATCTACAGTCCACGTGACATACATTATGAATTTCCAGTGCTGGACAGTGAATATATATCGGAACACAGTTTAAACACTTCGAAGTATTATATTTTCCGGCGCGATTAAATAACGCCCGATTGGCTGCTGTGTCGTTTCTCAATTGGTCGGATCAAGGATATAATTAAAGGGTAAAACAAATGATTTTGACATTTGTATGTTGCAACGGTTTACGTACGTAATTAATGTTAAGACTATGAGATATTTATTTGTAAAATCAGTTTTATCTTCCTTAAAAAGATTACAAGTTGTAAATCGTTTTTTTCGTGGTACGTATCTTTATGTGTTTACGTGTACATACGTGTATGATTTGTAAACAACTACACATGGGACGTTCTCACGCTGTTACTTCGCGCAAAACTGAATACTATTAAACGGGAGCTATACAAAAGTTTGATTTGTATTTATATTATAGAAGACCAACCAATGAAACGAAGAAATATTGTTACGAAGTTTCAACAACAAAATGTTGAGAACAATGAGAATGATAAAAAAACAACAAAGAAAAATCAGTCATCAACAAAGGTTTGTGTTTCGAATTTTTTACATAATAAGTTATTCTGTGAAAGAAATATCAAAATCAAGATATCTTATTTTCTATTAGAAATATATTATGTTCTATGTGCGATATTGTTTATTAGATAATACCGGATGAAAGGCCAAAATTGAATTTGAGATCTTTGCGAAATCAAAATAATGAAACCACAAATCAATCTCATGCCACTGCATCTTTAAAAAAATCTAAAAATAATCAAAAAGAATCACATATAAACAATGATAAAAGTTAGTAAATTCATAGTCATTTAATAATAAAACTATTTACTATACTTATTTTTTGTACTTATTACTGATAATTCATTATAGAAGAAGAAAATGATGAAGAAGAAAAAGAAGAAGAATTGAAACCAAATACAAGTCTCGACAAAAAGAAACTGAGAGCCATTGTAGATTTGAAAAAAATGAAGGAGGAATTAAAACAGCTGGAAGATCCTCCACTGACACCATGGGAAAAGGAAGCATCTTCTAAAAGGCTGCAATATGAATTCTATGATGTACCTTGTGAAGATTTGGCACAGCGATTGCTAGGTTTATAGAACAATAGATATAAGAGATTTTAATTCTTTCAAAAATAAACTTGCTTTTGACTTTATTATATTATCTTGCACATATAAATGTATCAAATAATTTTCTTTAACAGGCAAAATACTTGTGAGATATCTTGATGATGGAACAATCCTCAAAGGTAGAATTGTAGAAACCGAAGGATATTTAGGTGCAATTGATAAAGCGTCCCAATCATATCAGAATAGAATTACTTCTCGTAACTTACCAATGTACATGCCCCCAGGGACTATTTATGTTTACATGACATATGGCATGTATCACTGTTTTAATATCTCAAGTCAAGGTGAGTACAATTTTTCATGAAAGATCGAAGAATTTCTTAACTTATGTATTAAGATGCTTTATTTTTGATTATTTTTATTCGTAAAATTATCAGAGATTTATAAAATTCTGGAAGAATCAACAATTAATTGTTCGCATGCTCATTATTTATTATTAACATAACACGCTAATAAATAACGTTTAGAGGGAAATGCATGTGTATTGATAAAAGCGGTAGAACCGCTGATGAATATTATAATAATATTATTATAAAATTCTGGAAGAATCAACAATTAATTGTTCGCATGCTCATTTATTATTACTAACATAACACGCTAATAAATAACGTTTAGAGGGAAATGCATGTGTATTGATAAAAGCGGTAGAACCGCTGATGGGATTTGAAAACATGGAATTATTAAGAAACATGCGGCGCGCCGATAACGGAAGAGAAAACCCAATCGCGAAAGAAGTAACGCGTACGCGAACATTAAAGCAATACGAGCTTTGCGATAATCCGTTCAAGATATGCGAAACTTTTGCTATCAATCAGAACACCTTCGATCGGAAGCTTGTTTATGCGTGTTATAATTTGTGGCTCGAGACTCAACCGTTTGTAAGATCGCCCGCCATAGTAGCTGTACCATCTGAAGATGGGCAATCGAATGATAGCCGATCATTTATCCGCAAGACGCGATATTATGTGTTGGGAAGTACCAGCGTTGGCGACAGAAATTATGAATGCGAAGAAAATGCTTATATCGCACAATAAATTAAACGTGAATAGCAACTATAAGAACACAGACATAAAATTCTTTTTACATTTCGTTTAAGTTTAGAGAAAACTTAATTCTGAGTAAAAATATATATACATATAAATAAATATATATACATGTATTAGAAAAAAATTACATTGCAATAAGTGTAGCGCATCATAGATTTTTATAAATAAAAACTTAGAAGAATGGATTCTCATATCTTTCTCTGTAGCTGTGCGATAAAACGTCACAAAATAATTGGTCCGATTTTAGGTGACGGATGTGCGGTACTGGTGCGAGCTGTCGATCCTCTGGAAGGTATCGAACGTATGGCCGAAGAACGTAATACTTCATCAAAGGCGAAGAAAACGAAACTAACTTCTTTAAAACCGCATGAATTATGCAATGGCCCGTCTAAGTTCTGCATGGCGTATCAGCTTACCAGAGAACACAATAGATATTCTCTTTGTACGTGGAAGAGTCTATGGATTGAAGACGACGGTGCGTTAACGGATTTCAAAATTATCAAAACCGCTAGAATCGGAATCGACAGCTCTGGTCCGGAATGGTCGAAGAAACCTTTACGCTACTACATCTACGACAACAAATCCATTAGCAAAAGAGATAAAAAGGCGGAAACGGAGATTTCTTAATTGTTCAAAATCAGTACTTCGTAATTTTTTATGATGGCTATTTGATAAGTGGCTAAATTTTTTTATAAATGAAAGAAATATATACATACGTATAAACAATTGTTCATACATAAATAAGAAAAAGAAAGACGTGCTCTCTGTATATATATATCACATTATTATACTCTATTACATATGTTCCGCGGAAATTTTATCACGTCCACTCTTTCATCACGCGTTCGTAATCCTCCTCCTCAATGAATGGCTTATCTATCGACCTGTGAAATACAATCGATAATTTATGCTCACGTATAAACCTTCACAAGATTTCACTTAAATTTCTTAATTGTAGACTGTCATATAATCAAGACTATTCAGTGATATCGAAACGTACTCTATCATAAGTTCTCCGCAATAGAGGCACTCGGAAGCCACTAGTTCATCGATGTCGGCCTTGATTTGATCTCTCGTTGACAAAGACACGGAAGTCATCGAAGTAGTGTCTTCAGGTCGATTCGAAATGAGAGTAAGTTGTCGCTGAAGATCCGCCAACTTTGTCCTCTGGTCCATAGACAACATGGGCGTTAATGCCGCCACCAAACAATCGCTGTGAAATTTATGTCCGCAAGGAAATACATAAAAAGGCCTCAAAAGCAATTGCACCTCGCATGTGTTGCATGTATCTCTTGCGTGCACAAAGGTACATCTGAAAAAAAAGATGAAATATGATCAAATACAAGATGTGTGTGTGTGTGTGTGTGTGTGTGTGTGTGTGTGTGTGTGTGTGTGTGTGTGTGTGTGTGTGTGTGTGTGTGTGTGTG